ATATATATATATATATATATATATATATATATATATATATATATATATATAATTTTTTTTTTTTATTTTTTTTTTTTTATTATTTATTTAATTTGCCGTTGATAAATATTACAAAAAAGAAATTACAATAAAAGAAAATCCTGGCTGGAGCAAGAAGAAGACAGATTGTCTTATCACCGAGCCCCGTCACACAAAAATTTACATGCACAATAAATGATAAAAGACAAAAAGACAGTATAAATACAAAAACAAAAATAAATCAAAAACTTCAGCAATAAAATAATTTGTTGCTAACAATCTTCAAGCAGAATAATTTTAAAAATAAAAAAGCAATATATGTAAACATAAGTATTTGGGCTGATTATTTAATATCATCAAAAATATGAACGAAAAGACAATTTTATTTTCGTTATCTTTTATACTAATGGTTTGAAACCATTTTAATAAAAGCTAAAGAAAGTGTTAAAGATTTAATTGATTTTTAAGTGATTTAGTTTAAACCTTTAAATTGTTTTCAAAAAAGGTATTTGAAATCTAGTATATCGAATTCCATGTTCAGTAAATGCCGTTTTGAATCATCCTTAAAACTTTGCAAAGTGCAGTTTAAAACGAAGTTTTGTTCTTTACTAAAGATTGGAAAAAAATCTTTCCAAACTAAAGGCCCCCGATATTGAATTTGGTACGAACTTAATTTTAGAAAGTTTATGGGAACCACAAAGTTATTCACTGAAAATTTGGTTGGATATTTATGGGAGATTTCATTAAAGTAGGATTGAAATGTTACTGGAGAAAACCCAAGTTTTGCTTTAAACATAAATATCATTACTTGATGAATATTAAGCTTATAAATATTTAAAGCTCCAAGCTGACGTAAGAGAGGTTCGCATTGTGTTTTTCTATTTGCCCCAAATACTATCCTGCAAGCATGTTTTTGTTTACTATAAATTTTTTTGAGTTTAGTGTGATTAGTGCTACCCCAGGAAATGTTACAGTATGAAAGATAGCTGTGTATAAACGAAAAATATAAAATTTTTAAAGACTCGTTATTAAGAAAAGGTTTCGTTCGGTATAACATGGCAATATTTTTTGAGATCTTACCTTCAATATATTTAATATGAAATTTCCATGACAATTTTTCATCTAAGAGCACTCCCAGAAAGTTTGTAGTCAATTCCCTTTTAATTATTTTATTATTGATTAAAAGATTGGGTAGTTTAAGAGGAATATTCTCGGCTTTACTAGGTTTATGGAATAGGATAAATTTTGTTTTCTCTACATTTAATGATAGTCGGTTACTTATAAACCACTCGTTGATCTTGTCTAATTCTTCGTTAAA